GTGCCGCGCTTCTCGCCCTTGTACGAGTGCGCGACCATCACCTCTGGAAGGGTCGTCTCCCAAAACAACTTTGCGAGCTCGTCCGGTCGCTGGGATTGTAAGACCACACAGTGCTACTCCGTTGTTATCTTTTCCCGCCAGCGTGATGGCCTTTCGTTTAAACAAAACCACCTGGTGGAATTTCTATTTCGCTTTTTTCATCCTAACAGCAGACACAAGTCCGTAGATGCAAGTGAACTCGCTTGTCTGGGGCTGGGGGGTGTTGTGTTCAGGGGTAGGCCGGATGATGATTGTCTTGCCAGGGCAGCACGTTGGAGCTGGACGCAGCGCTGTCTAAAAATTGTGTTGCTTGTACGTTTAGACAGCCTCCATGTTAGTACGCCTCAACGGACGACTTGTCTCCTAGCTGTAGATGAGAAATTTAGCCAACGCAGTACAACTGCTAACTTGGGGCTTTTAACATGCACCACGCAGTAGTGATCACACGAAAGCATGCCGGTACGGAACTCGTCCAGATCGAAATGGGCAGGGGGTGATGATCGAGCCCAGGAGGTTCTGCAGCGCAAGCTTTCACTTTACGATCCGAGCTGAGACGCGTTATCCCACTGGGCCACCGATCCCCCACGGCACTGCCCCTGGCAGGCGACTCGTGACTAGACTGGGCCGGCCGGGGCTTCGGTCGCCTTCTGTCGGGGGAGAGATGATGTGTACTCAAGTAGCACACTTCCAACTGAGTGGCTCTAGTAACGTTGGTATTAGTGTACGGTTACCAAAATGGCGAATGTAAACAAACGGTCACGATGGCGATGGGGCTAGTCACCTTATACCTAGTATCGCATTTTCCTTTTGAGTTTCGGTTTCTGGTTTCAATTGTAACATGCATGTATTTTTGGGCTCCGATTTTGGCGAAAAAAAGTGTGCGTTAATTGTGCACAACAGGTATGTATTAGGTTACGACAAAGGAGCAGTTTTAGTTTTCGTCTTGCTAAGCCTGCATTGTGAGTCACTTTTCTAGCAACTTTATAATCTCTGCTGCGGGAGTGAGGGCGTCTTCTGCTGCAGGAGCAGTTGTCAGGGCGAAAAGAGAGCGCTTATGTACTGAACATGTGGAACAATTAATTTTCTTGCATGATAATTTGCAATAATTGCATTAGTAGCTGATATCTACCTTGCTGGCTAGTCAAGGGTAATTTGAGTTATCATAAGGTCACTACCAGTTGTTTGTGTGACAACATTAGAGGATGCATTTTTACATGCTATCTAGACATGTGCAGTTTTGAACTCTCTTAATTTTGTCACTTTGTATAATGTTCATATTCGATTCACGTTCAAAACTTTCAATATTTGCAAACCCCTAGTTATCACTACTGCGTGCCGCTCATCAGAGAGACTGATTAGCTCTCTACTGCGAATGCACAACTAACAGCCACTTCCCCCCGCCCCCTCTAAACGCTCGTACGACCAATTGGTTAAATATTTTTGAGTAAATTAATCAAAGGTGCATACATGCGTCAGGATTTGGCAAACATGAACTAACACATCTGCAAAATGACAATCACACCGTTTGCATTTATATTTTTCAGCGACGACTCCCGATTGCTTTCAACTGCTTACGCCCAAGAAGGCTGTTCTTTTACGCTGGGTAGTTACAGATGTTTGTCATCTTGACTCGTGGCCACAGCTTAGTGTATGACGTTTTTCGGCTGTAGAGGATGTCCACTGCGTACCCCTCCTCCTAACATACTGGTTCACATCTGCTTAAACTAAGGCAAAACGGCGGTGGCAAACCACTCGACTAAGGAACCAATGTAACTCGGCTGGACGAGCACGTGCAACATGATGCATCGAATGTCCCTCCTGCGTGTGGAGACAAAGATGGTACATCGCAAAATGCAATGCAATTGGAAACCTCGCACGAATACACCCTACAAAAACAACTAAGGTCAATAAAGATAGCCCAGGAAAGCTGCAGCTAGTGTTTAGGTGGACAGCTGCAATGCTGGGGTGTGGTATGATCCATGAAGAACACACCAGAACGTTCCAGCGTATCGCTTGTGTGACCTTTCCGCTAGTCACACATGCCTCTACCGTTTTCACTTTTCTTTTACTCACGCAGATGAGGATAAAGAGATTTGACTGATCCAGTGGCCAAGTACGAATACATAAACACCCCCCACTTCGCCAACTTTTTTCCACTTGGGGAAATGAGTTAAATTCTGAGTTTCTCAAAAAACCACAATAGTGGAATGCCTCCGGTACACAAGCACTACCTCCGGTACACAAGCAGTGCAGCCAAGATAATGCCCAAGTGGCCTCACAGTGCAGGGGTAAGTGTGGTCCAAGATGAGAAGAGTGGACAAAGGAACAGATAGTTGAAACAGAAAGACCACAGAATGCTTCCAGTTGTTGTACGTTCTCCGCATAATGTGCCGAGAAACATCACAGTAACCACTTCGAGATGCGTGACAAGAGGAGTATCTCGAGAGTCGGTCGTGCTAAAGCACGTCGTTGACCAGGGCAGAAAAAGAAAGGTAACGTAACTCCCAGTTTTCCGGAAATATTGAGGGTTTAAAGTGGACAGGAAGTGCAGTGGCCGTTTGCTAACCAAGCGTGGTTATGCCTCACGAGGGCTCGGGAAAGCAGTCTGTGTCGGGGTGCACGCGTGCACTCTCGGAAGTCGCATACCCGGCCCCCGAGGAGCGTGGTGCCGCTTCGTCCGCGCCAGCCTGCACCGCCACCTCGCTGCTGCCCCCCGTCGGGCCTCGGGGGCCCCCCCTGGCGGGGGGCCGCACCACCAGGTACAGCTCGACCGGCCTGTTGGCCGAGCCACGCAGGTCGCAGCCCGCGTCCAGTGACAAGAAGCTCCCGCCGTGCCTCCCCTTCGACTCGGTTGCGAGGCCGTCGTGGAGTCGCTCGACCGAGTAGCGGTAGCTCGAGGAGGGTCGCGCGGCAGCGTGGGAGCCCTCGCGGCGCTCGAGCGCGGCTGCCTGCTCCGAGTGCCGCCTGACCTTGGCGTACTGGGCCTTGCCCACGAGTACGCGGTCGGGAGAGTCCTCCTCCAGCCCCCGCTTTCCGTGATGCCAGGGGGCAGATGTTGGCGGCTTCCCGCGCAGTGGCACCGCAGCCCAACTCTCAGGGTCGTCGAGGGGCATTCGAGCGCCCGCGGGGAGGTGCTGGATCGAGGAGCTTCGGTGGCCGGGTGGCACTCTCGTGAAGGCCGCGTCGCGGACGCCGCCGCACAGCTGCTGCTCCGAATAGCGGCTGAGCAGGCGGCTCTTGTGTAGGCTCGTCGCGTCCGGCGTCGCGGAGGGCACGCAGGTTCCCGTGGAAGACGCTTCCACCGCGACGCGTTCGGTCGAACGCGACCTGCGGCGGTCTGACTGGGACCGCCTCAGGTGAACGATGCCGTCGTTCGGTTCGGTCGGGTCGATTCGTCGGTCTTCGGTCGAAAGTCCGGCGAGGGGTGGCCAACGGCGAGAGCCGACTTCTCGCGCGGGCTCCCAGTCGGAGTGGACGGCGAGGTGGCCGTCAGGCCGCAGCTCGCTGCCGAGTCGCGCAGACGCGAAGGGAAGGGGGACCCCGAAAAGAAGGTGTGAGAGGAACGAGGGTGTTACGTGGTTGGGGGAGGAAAAGAGAGGGAGAGAAAGACGACGGCAGGTGTTCAGCACCCTCCGAGAGAAAGGGGCTAAAGGGCCTCAACACAAGCATTCTTTCAAAGACTTCTTTCAAAGACCTCTCTGGTACAAAGAAATGTCCAAGTAGATGCCTAAAACGAAAAACTTCTCTCAAACACACCCGGGGGCCATAAGACTGGCTGAAGTAAAAGTCTGCTCCTCGTTTGCGAGAAACGTGACAGAATTTGAGGTCGTGCAAAAATAAGGCTCGGATAAAAAATTTTCCAAAAAGTCGGCAGACAGAGGTAGTCCTAAAGCTTGTTTTACGTTGCCCGAGTGGCCTCCATACCTCAAGTTTTGAAAGTGTATGATTTTCGATTCAAACCAAAACGAGTGAGCTGCAACTGCGATTTAAATGCAATGTTTCCTCGAGCCTATTAATTTCTTTGATAAGCTAACGACTGTTACAAAAATAAACACATTTTCATTCGAATGTTGAAAGCCAAATAGCAAAAAAATATAAGGCATATCTTTGCATTCCTGCCTCCGTTAATTCAATCTTACCACAAGCTAAAAATATCCACTCATAAATTGTATAACACTATCACTAAGAAATTGCTCTCGGTGAGAAGGGTCAGCTGTCCATTTCACCACCTTAGCCAGCCTGCTGGGTGCAACGAGATAACATTTTACGAGAGCAATGCATTTCGTCTTTCTTGTAACGAGCCAAAAAGGGATGCCAACCTCACTTGGCAGGTCCGAGCATAGAAGGCTGTTGCTCGTGCAGAGGTGATTAGGATATATGCACCGACGAGACCCGTCACCAAAAGTGAAAAGTGCAAAAAGTAACGCCATATTTCAAACTATGTTACATATTTCGAACTATGTTACAGCACCCAAATTCCGAGATCATTTCAATCTTTGCCAAAATGTAGGAAACGCATTGTGGAATCCCATCACGAAGCATCATTCGAGAGTGCATTCTACATGGACCATGCTGCCAAAATGCGGGACATCTGGTTCCACGCTGGTGGTGGGACCGAATCATGGATTCTCTCGTAGACATTCCACACACACGCCCTCAAACAACCCCGAGGCACAGCAGGGTGTCTGGTCTTCCATTGGCGAGACCTCAGTTACCAGATCAACTCAGTTGCGGAACTCCAAAAAAAGTGCTTGCATCATTTGAAGCGCCATCTAGAGTATGTGCTTCAAATCTGTATTTCTTAGAGCAGCTGCAGTGAAGTGCCATCTAGACACCGTGCCTCAAAGCCCGCAAACTCCATGGAGTCACCACACCATGGAGTTCAACAGACATGGCATCTATGGAGAGTTCCACGACTGAATTGATCAGCACTGCTCCAAAGGGATAGAGAAGGTGCTTACTTGGGCAGGCCGTGGGGGCTCCTGTGGAAGGCAGAGCTAGAGGACAGCTGGGGCCCCTCCAGGGCCAGCTTCTGCATTGCCTCCACCAGGAAGGCAAACACTGTTGAGTTCTCCGCATGGAACGTGCTCTCCGCCGCAAAGAATGTCTGCAGCTTGGACACCAGGAACGGGATACGGCTGTGAAACGGGGAGGCAGCCGTCAGAAGCCGCCACCGGGGAACAGGGCAACTCTCGTGCGGGGACCAGAGAGGCAAACGGGAACTGCCATCGCAGTCTGTGTCGACCCGAAAATAAAAACATGTTTTGGAATCCTTCAAATGAGTTTTTGCAACATAAATGTGTTGTGCTAAAAGCTTCTTTTTTTTAGAGGGGGTTGTGACACACACGACAAGGATTTTGTGTTTTTGGAGTTTATTTCTCGTGAAATTCGGAGGGTGTTTTTCGGAGCTTATTTTTCGCCGGGGATTCGGGGTTTATCGAAGTTTATTTTTGTTAGATCCCCAATTCTTTGAAATTCGAAGTTTATTTGACTGAGTAAAATTTAAAAATTTAGAAAAAAAAAAATAATGTTCGGGTACAATGACCTGTTGTCTGGAAGGAACCTTGACCTGCTAAAAAACAAAACCCTTTTTGTCAGAAGTTCCATATTTCAAAGTAAACTGAAATGGAATCTCCCAGGACCACTGACCTTGTGCTCTTATAAAGTTTAGTTGTAAAACTCCGTCTTTTTTGCTGTTTATTTTGTCGCTGTGACCTCAAAATTCAGAGTTTTTCGGATAAATCCGAATCGACAAAAAATTTACCGGCGAGTGTTTTTCGGATTTTTTTGGATTTATCCGAAAACACGGAACCCTCATGACCAACTCGGGCACTGAAAAAAAAACAATATGGAGTTCATTTAGGCATCTGCACTGCCCCTTAATTGAGATGTCTACTGTTACTAGACATTTGAACTAACCAACATTTCCATGTTCACTTCTGCCCATCTAGTTCACCAATACTCTCAAACTAAATTGAGAAGATGGGAAGGCAGAACCCTCAGTCGCAACAACGACAGTGGGACACGGCGGACGCACGGTGGCCTGCCACAAGCGCGAAAATGCAGCTGCCTATGTTTTGGATGGTTCTCGACATACGAACAAGATTACACGTGCGCCAGAAAGTCGCTCTTGTTTTTTCACGCTCTCTTTTGTCGTGCGTGTCTGGAGAATGCAAACGCAAATTTACGGTGCATGACTAAGTTCCCAACTCCTTTTGAGAGACACCTGGAACTAAACCTAGAAAAATATTGCCGATACTAGGTAGCTAGTGCTCGTAGTAAAATGCAGAAAAAGCATCGTGCATACGCTCCTTCAATAGCCGCGTGGCAGATTTCAATTAAAAAGTGATACTTACTCAATGCTCACTCCTTCCCATATTTTTTTCGCCTTTTTTTTTTTTTTTTTTTTTTAGTTGAGAGTAAAAGGGTTGCTGCGGGCAATCCAGATCTGGAATCGCATCATATAAGCAATCCCTACTTCAGCGATTCAAAGGCACGGCTGTGAGTACTTTAAGTAGAGATCACTTTGTAATTTTTTTTATCGTTTTAGGCACTCCACAGGCCAGAAAAAAGCCAAATTTTCCCACCACCCTGATTCGCCGAAGTAGTGCCACGGAGAAAATCCCCCAATTGGGCAAACCTATGCCCACTGAACTGCTAGACCTGGGCGGTTATATTTTAACTCTGCTGTACTGCCTGGGCATGCCTGGCAGCACATTCTCTAGCTTTCTCAGTACTGGCAACCCTCTGCCTGCTGCTCTAACAGGTCCAGAGTCCCACACAATGCCCTCGCTGCTCCTTGGAGGCCCCCATACCCCGCAAGCCATAGCAACCATAGAGGTGGGAATGGCAGATGCCACGGGACAGGATGGTTACCGCAGGACCCCACTCTGGCCGAAGCGCCTCACCTGTCGTACAGTGCAGGCAGCTCGTCGTGGAGTTCGTTGTTGATCACTTCGTACATTTGTTTTGCATCCTCAAGCTCTTCCCTCGCCTGCAAAGAGAATAGACTCTTTAACCAACGGGTTGCGTACACAGACGGTTCTTAAAAGCTGACGACCAGTTCGTGCTTTCCACTTTTTCCTCGCTTCCACCTCTCCCTCCTTCTACCCTGTCCACCGTTGCCTGTTCCCTCCTTCCCTAAGGTGAGGAGGATGTTCTGCCTTGCAGAATCTCGAGTCTGGTCGTCGGCCTTTAAAGGGCTTCCAAACACACCAAGGTTCCCGAGAGTAACCAATCTTTCTAGACATTTCTCGAATTAAAACAAAAACAATGACTCTTAACAAACGACCAACGGAAATTGCCAAAATGTCAAATTCGGAATACAAGCCTAGGTACGAGTCGTGCCACGGCAGTCCATCAAAAAGTTTGCACTGCCTAAGGAAATCTTTTTATGAACGGCTTCAATATGCACATCAAAAAGTTACTGTCACCAGTTTAGAACAAAAGAACAAAAAAAATTATGCCCAGTGTTATTGTTTTGAAACCCCAGTCAAACTTAGTTATGTCTCTAAGCAGGGGCACTGACAGCTCAAAATTTATATTTTTTTTATTATTGTACCAGACAACTGAAAATCGTGCCTAGATATCACCCTCAAAATTTGAGGCTTAAAAACTATGAATCTGTAAAAAAAAAAGAAAACAATTCCTAAAGGCCGAATTTGAAGCTCGTAAGCACAGAAGTAACGTCGAGGTCGCAGCCGTGCTTTTCTTGCCTTTTCTTTGGTCTCCAAACTGGAAACGTCGTATTCTTCCCCACGGGACATGTGCGCGACTCTGAGCAGCTGACGCTTTACTTTTGAGCTTCACACCTTAGTTGGTGCTCCTTGGGAGGTTTAAAACACTTTTTGATTGTAGGGACTTGAGTGTACAACGTCAAGGGCCACGTCGTGCCAATGGTGAACGACAAACTGTCCCAGCTGTGCCAAATTCGAAAGTGCCGGCGACGTCTTCGGTATCCTCCTGTTCCCAATTGGGCGTGTCGTAAGAAACCAAATCCAGTTTTTTGGAAAGCTCGACAATTTTTTTTTGCAAAGTTCAAGAAGTCATCAAGCAGCAAAAAAAAAAACTTTGTCCGATTCACCAAGGACTGCACAACCACCCTTGGCATCGCAGTTGCTGCGTGCCGCCATGTTGCGAGAACGGATAAAAGGCAAAGAGGCGGCAACGACCGATTTCGAACCGATACTTCCGGGCTCCATTTTTCTGTCTTTCGAAAGAAAGGCAGAAAGGTACATTCGCAATTCTTTCGGAAAGAAAGGAAAAAAAAGTACATTCGCAATTCAGTAAAAAAAAAAAATATGTTTCACAAATGCCGTTGTTAAATGTTATAAAAAGACAACTTCTGAAGCCTTTAAATTTGCGCATTCATTACGTTGCCGCCAAAGAAGAAGCGAGGAAGTCTTGGGGGGTATATGAAAACGTTTTAAATCAATGTTAACCACAAAAAAAAAAAAAAAAGAATCTTGAGGTGTCAGTGCCCCTTTAAAAAGGCAAATTGCGAAAAATTATATGTACGACCGGATCAACTGTAACCCATTCCCTCTAGCATTGATAACTTCAAACCTCTTCTAGTAGAAAGTGAGCTTCATGCACCCTTGCTGCATCGAGAGATGGCCCGCTTTCATGCTGCCCAAGGGCGCACCCACCTTGCCGAGCTTGTAGTCGTCCTTCTTCTTGGCCGAGTTGCGCAGACTTTCCACGCTGTGCCGTGCCTTGTCGTAGTCCACAAGCTTGCGGCCCCGCTTGGCTATCCTGCCCTGCAACGCAGGCAGGAAGAAGGTTGCTCGGTGCTCACGGTTGCCTAAAAGCTGGGGACTTCAATTTAGAGAATCCCAAGCAGTTCAAAAGCATTCCACTTCAACAGAACGTGAACCACTCTTGTACAGGGAGAAACAAATCCAAAATGCTTCAATCATCGTAACTATTGGACCCTATAACACCTAAAATAATCCCATAAACATGTGACTGCAGGAACTTTTGCCACCCCAAGGACTGACGTCCTTCTATAAAATAATTTTAAGAAAAATGATAATCAAAAACTTTACACATTTTTTTTAAAATATGTTAGCATTAGTGCCCTGGTACATGCGCCGACTTTGGACTGCTTTGGAGAGCACATATTCAAATTTTGCAACGTCGCCACAGGATAGCACCACAGCCTCAATGGTTGTGGACACTGGCTAGAAAACACCTTCTGCAAGTGCCGACAGATGGCAGTGGGGGGTGTATCACTGCTCTGTACCACTGGCGCGCGTGTCAACCCCCTGTTCGCGGCGACAGTCTGCGGATGGCTCATTAGATGCGACTTCCCCCAAATGTTTACTGTGCGTGCAAACTACCTCAACATGGCCGAAATACGGGTTTGTGTTGCGGAACACCAGGGAAGTTCTATTTGCAATGGGTCTAGTGTGCCACGACGGGAGATACTCGATAATGTAACGCTCCACAAACAGCCAAACTTGCTCCTCCGTTACAGTGCCCCACACCCACGACGCAGCCCGTCGTCCACTCACCCTGACGTCTGTGAACTGATTGATGTAGCTGTTGAGAGGCGCCATCACCTGGTCGTTCATCTTGCGGTGGTAGTCGTCCCACAGCAACTCCAGCGTCTGCCACCAAACAAAGCAAAGGGGGCCTTGCAGATGGGAAAGTGCAAGGGCTAGGAGCGCCAAACTTTTCCACGGCCCCAGCTACGATGGGTACCAAGAATTTTTTTTGAGAACTAGCCGCGTGACAACAAAAGCGCTCTATTTGGACCAGATTTGCCTAAGTTAACTAAAATCCGCTGCACAAAATCTCTTATTTGTTCTTAAGAAATGGCCACTACACACAGCCCTAGGAAATTCCCAATAGCCACTGAAGGTTTTTCTGTGGATGTTAGAGGCGACGATAGATGCAGAGGGTTGAAGCTTGCAAACTTGTAATGCAATTGAGTACACAATCCACTTCTCTCTTTATCTTAAATAACTATACGTCAAATTATCCTCAAGATATGCTGCATAGATATTGATGCCACGTTACAAATGCATGTATTTAGAAATAGCGCCAGTTTAAAAGTATTTCGAGTCCATGAAAAGATTATCAACATGCTGTATCTTCTTTTTTCAGGGGGCTTTTTTGTTTCACAAGCTTTCGTAAATCCCCACCAAGGGCATTGGTGTGCCCTTCTTGCTTGTTATTGTGTTGCAAGTGGCAATGAACATTTATGTAAAAAAGCTGCTTTCTGATTCACAGAGTTTTCTGATTGAATGCACCTTTAGTCAACAAGTACTGCATCAAAATGACTGAAACATGAAGGGTACAAAATTCATCCTCTGCAGAGTCCACGGCAAGGTGGTAAACCAAGAAAAGAGAATATGGAGCAGACCATCTTTAGGGGTGTGACAGCAAATATTTACGCAAAGATGAACAATAGAAATCAAGCACACGCACTAACTGGAACGACCAGGAAACCGACACCGCAGATCGCGGATAAGACAAATCTGCGTTCCATGTTGCTGCTTATACCATATGTTATTACAATTGGTTTTTATCAATCAAAACAAAAATTTCAATTTCTCTGCAGATGATCAGATAATGGCACAAGCTGCTGCTTGAAACGCTGGTGTCTGCAATTAGGAGCAGGTGGTAGTTTTCTCCTTTTTATATACTTGCAAATTTTAGTGATTCATCTGAACACAATTGGGCTGATGCATCAAACGGTAAACAAGAAGTCTTGCAAATGCATTAGTAATGTTTTCTTTTATGGCGATGGCTAATGAATAAAGCGTGCTTGATCCTGTTGGACACACGACTCGGCATAACCCTTTAATCTGCCCAGTATGGAACCCGTAAAATACCGTATGAATTTCAATGACTCTGCTAGAACTGTCGGTGTTTCCTTGTTTAATCAAAACTAGCAATAGACAATCTTTGGAGGTTGGTGATGCTTTAGGATATCACAGTATAACCAGTCAAGTAGAAACACACTTTGTTGTCTATTTCGAATTCAATATAAGACAAATTGCTCGTATTTGTTACATATTTCAAACAATTATGGCTTATAGGTATCTTGAGGAGATATTTTTCAAAAAGCCTATCATTGAAAAAAACAAACAAAAAACATGGCCTTCGTACAAGTTTGGCGGAATTAATATAATTTTAGTTTCTTATTTTATCGCATATGGTACTCTTACTTCCCTTTATAAAATACTAAACATGTAAAATGCAAAAAAAAAGTTTTAGGAATTAATAATGTATACAAAGCAATCCACTTATAACGATACCACATATAATGATGTATTGCTTATAACAATCAGTTTCTAGAGTTTCTAGACTAAACGATCAGTTTCTAGTCCAGATAGAATGATAACCAGTTGTAACAATTGAGTTTTTGGGTTTTCTCATTACCATTATAAGTGGATTGCAATGTATTAGGCATCGGCGAAGAGTCGATTGTGAGCTCGACTTCTAAGCAAATTCAAAGTGAATATGTAGGGGTTTCGGCTGAATATTTTCCAATCTAATATCAAATGGCTCCTCCAAGCCTTTCGTTAGTGCACCTAGCTTAAAGGAAAACCCAGCTTAGCTCATGAAGGGTGTGCCCAAGCTTCCACTTGTCCATTTCTAAGCTAATTTTATACTAAATATATTTATGCACAGTGGCCTCAGAAAGTTCAATGCCTACATTGGGTTGGCAAGTAAACGACCCATTTGACATATAATTAAGCCTATAAAGATGATCAGCTATAGCGAATCATGGGAATTCATAAATCTTCTTGCTATGTGTCAATATCCTTTTTACAACCTGGAATTTGAAAAAAAAAAGAGGACAACCACGAATGATTAATGCAGGTTGTCAGGGAATGTCTGCAAAACAAATATTTCTCATGAAAGTGAAATTATGTAGGCAAGCCGGTGATTGAACTCCATAATAAAAAATCTGAGACTGGGAGGTAAAAAACGGACAAGCAAACACACCGTCTCAAAGCAGAGCTACTGCTTTTTGTTACGCATCATCAGTTTCATCCATTCGTGCACCCCCTCAATTGTTCCCAGTCTCCTTGCGACAAGATAGCAATGGACACAAGAAACAACATCCACCGCCATGGGAGGCCCGAACCTACAAGCATGGACAACAGACAAATAAACCCTCACTATGCTAACCTTTCACTGAATCCCATTAGTCACCAGCAGAAACTTTTTAAAGAGTGTAAAGGTTTGCTCCCGTTACGCTCCTCCACATGTTTTGCCAACTCCAATGTTTGTGCCTTGTTTTTTCACCGCCCTTTTCTGCTAACAAATTCTCGTCATCGTCGAACAGAGAGATGAAAAGGTTTCTGGAGATGACTAATGGGGTTCAGAGAAAGGTCAATGTAGTGAGCGTTCACCCCTTCGTCGGCCATGCTTGTGGGTTGGGGTGTGGCAGTGGGTGTTGTTTCTTGTGTTCGTTGTCTCGTCGCGAGGAGGGTAAATAAAAGCGAGGATGTGAAATAAATTCAGTAGCTGTGTTTTGAGATGGTGTGTGTGCGCTTGTTCGTTATTTTATCTATTCCCGGTCTACCTTTTTTGCTCTTCGCATATATTTTTGTAAGTTTTAATTTTGAAAATGGTAACTGCATTGTAGATATCAACATTCACAAATTGTCTCTTTTTTTTTTTAATACCGTATTTACTCGCAGAATAAACACACTTTTTTATCCGAAAAATCGATGCAAAGTTGGGGGGGGGGGGGGGGGGGGGCGTTCATTACGCGAAGTAAAATGAAGTAAAATTTTTGCGTCCCTATTTACTCGCATAAGGAAGGGACCTTTTATACTGAAAAATCGAACTTCTTATCTCTTTGCTCGCGGCGCCCGACCCCTTAACCAAACTAAGCTGTGCAAAAAAAAAGAAAAAAAAACTCGTTTTTTTTTTTTTTTTAGTTCCTTAATTTTTTTTTTTTTTTTTTTTTGCCGTCTTTCGCAAGCCGTTTTGTTTGCTTAGGCGTTGCTTAGGCGAGGGCTCTCCGCTTATCTTTCTGATCTCCTTGCGCGCGACCCCCCCCCCCCCCCCTAACCAAACTGCGCTGTGCAAAAAAAAAAGAAAAAAAAGCTCCTCTTTTTCTTTTTTTCTCAGTTCGGTGGGCTTTTTTTTTTCTTTTTGCTGCCTTTCGCAAGTTGTTTCGTTTCCTTGGAGCACTCCTCCGCTTCTCTTTTTTACCTCCTTGCGCGCGACGGCGCGAACCCAAAATCCAGACTGCACTGTGCAAAAAAAAAAAAGAAAAAAAAAAAGCTCCTCTGGGTGGTTTTTTTTTTTTTTTTCTTGCTTCCGTTGGATCTTTGCGAATTTTTTTAACGCCTTCTGCAAGGCGTTTTGTTCGCCCAAGCTGCCCATGCATTCGCGACCTCGCTGCACCAGGAAAAAAAAGTGCGTTCATTTCGCGCGCGTGGGGGGGGGGGGGGGGGGGGGGGGGTCAAAATTTTGACGTCCGAGTTGGGGGTGCGTTTATTACGCAAATGGAAAAAAAAGACGAAATTTTGAGAGCCGACTTGGGGGTGCATTCATTACGCAAGTGCGTTCATTGTGCGAATAATTACGGTACTAGGTTTACCATTTCACTTTGAAAGTGTACTTTTCTCCTAAGCATGCGAGCGCAATATTTCTACTTTTCGAAGTGTTGACCGCAGCGAGTAAGCCTTGTGGAGCAAGCTTCTTAGTGAGCACCAATGCATTGCAGAGAAGCAACACCCGCAGGAGCGAGCTTTGCGGGTGTTGCTTCGCCAGTGCTCGGTGAGAACAATGGTCACCCGCCAAAATCAGGACGGAAAACTAAAAACACATATTACAGGTGAACCCAAAGTGAATATCGAATCATAATATTCGAAACTACTATTAGAAAATTTGAATATTTGCATAAGCCCAACGTATATGATGAAAAACAAAATGAAAAAAATTGCCCTAGAAACAGAAGACCAATTTTAAAGCCCCTTGTGATCTTAAAATAATTTTGCCATTGTTCTTTCATTGAAATAGCCATGTGAGCTGCACTGCCTCTTTGAGGAGAGGTGAGGGTCTTCAGAGATTTTCGTTTTATTTATCACATACAAATATTTATCTTATTATACATTGAGACATCACATTTCGTTGAATATCTTTAGTAGAAGCTCACTTGTGGGATATTTATCCGATTTAATTATGACATTGGTTACAGGTCGTTAGACTAAGCAACATGGCGAAATGTAAGAAATGTTAGGACTGTTCACAACAGTCTCACTTGTGTGATGCTATTCTACATCTGCACTGAGAATACCATGTCTATAAGACTTTAATCCTAACATAAAAAATAAGTGTGGTCATTATTTAGGCAACAGTTGTGCACACCTCTTAACCTGGAAATCTATAGAACTGGCATTCTCACAGCTTCAATCTTCTGAATTTAAATGATACCAAAGTTCTTAATATTTCCCTAGACAAACTTCAGAAAACACCTGTAAGAAATCAGTACCAACGAAAAACATATAAACAGAAGAAAAAACAAAGAATCTAGAAGATTGCATGTTCCTACCAAATATTCACAGAACATTAGAACTGCTGAAGCATTTTTTTATATTTATTGATTACATATACCACATTTCCGGTGTAGAGGTCGTAGTTTTTTTTTTTTTCTCAAACTTCTTTTTTGGTGCGTCTTATAGAACGATCCAATTTACCCTATATGCATTTTCAGCCCCTTGCCCTTTTACCGTGGCTGAAAAATGTTTTGCAAGTCGGCTTTCAAGGCGTACGAAGCCGAAAAAGCTCGCAGTAGGTCCCAACATTTCCTATCTAATTGATGTCTCCGTGGAAATGTTGCCACTCAAGGCAGAAAAATGGTCTCTGTGGAGAAAGAGTGCGAGGGAAGTCACAATAGACTGCAAACATACTAATAAGTAGGGTTGTGCAAGTATTGGATTTTTCTAATGGTGGTTTTGAATAATAAAATATTCAATATTTGCTTCAAGATTAACTTTGATATTTGTATTTTTTCGAAGTGTTGCCTGCAGCGGGTTAGCCCCGCTGAGTGCACTTCTTATCGAGCACCGGTGCATTGCGGAGAAGCAACACCTGTGGAGCTCGCTTTCGCATGTGTTGCTTCTCTGCAGTATAGGCCGCTTCTTACCGAGCCACTTCACACTTTGAAAAATCCAAATATTTCAGTCACATGCTTAGAAGGAAAGCCTACCTTAAAAGCGGGATGGTGCACGTGCACACTTGTTCTATTTAAAAGAAACAAAAACTTTGTGTACGTTGATATCTACAGTACAGTGAAACTTTTAAACATTAAACTCTGGCTAGTATGCAAGGGTATATGTTATGCAGAGATGTCCTGCATTCGTCGTTCATAGTTGTCTTTTTTTCATTAAAACTAGGGTTCGTGCGAGTTGGCCCATAGTTCCATTTTTGAAGCAGATAACAAGAAGGCGCGCTAACGCATTTGTCATCTGTCTTTCTGATATAAAACACCTCTATAATCTTTCTCGGTTCTATCTTTTGCTTTTTTTAACACTCTGTTGAATCCAAAAACAGGTTTGCAGCCAGCAGACCACCGTAAGAGATGCGCTGGCTACGAACCTGTTTTGGATGCAACAAAGTTTTAAAAAAAAAGCAAAAGATAGAATCGAGAGATTATTGAGACGTTTTATATAAAAAAAACAATTGACAAATGCGTCCCCAACGTGCCTTTTCTTTATCTGCTTAAACAAAATTGTGGAGCTCTTCTGCTTTACGTGAAGATGGAGGACGGGCAAAGCTGTTATCTTTACCATGTCTAGGGCGATGCCTAGAGGACGACCTCAAGGACAACTTCTCGGACGACCTCGAGGATGACGCCTAGAGAATGACCTCAAGGACGACGTCTAGGGTGACCTCAAGGACGACTTCTAGGATGACCTCGAGGAAGACACCAAAGACGAACTCAAGAACGACTTCTAGGACAACCTCGAGGATGACGCCTAGAGGACGACGTCTAGGACGACCTCAAGGACTTCTAGGACGACCTCAAGGAAGACACCTAGGACGAATTCAAGAACGACTTCTAGGACAACCTCTCGGACAGTTTCAAGGATGACTTCTTTGGCGACCTCAATGACAACCTCGAGGACGACGTCTAGACCGACCTCAAGGAAGACTTCTAGGAAGACTTTGAGGACGCCTAGAGGACGACCTCTCCGAAGACTGCAAGGACATCTAGGACGACCTCGAGAACGACTTCTAGGACGATACCTAGAGAACGACCTCAAGGACAACCTCACGTACGATGCCTAGAGATGATAACAAGGGATCAGGACCTCAGTATCTAATAATGCCAAGGAAGGCTGACTCACGCTGGTTGCCCCCCTTTTTGTTTTTATTTATTCATACTTCACCTCTTTTTGTTTTTATTTATTTATACTTGCCACGACCAATGGGGAGTTTTCTGTCGATATGTGGGGACACATTTTTTCCCAGACCCTAGCGTATAACAGCTTTGCTGTAAAAAGAAGTGACTTTTCTGGATGGCTCCTTGTAAGAGTGATTGGTTGTGATGCAAGTCGGGCAAATGAGTGTGTATATAAGTGACGGTGGTTTCTAACAAAAGCATTCGAGGGTTAGCGCCTGTCCTGCCGTCTTTGCGTCTTTATTGCCCTTGTTTTGTTCACGTTTTTAACCTTTTAATTCAGTGAGTCTCTTTTCTTTCCCCTCAAATTCGAGAATTAAGAGAGGATATTTGCACATAGCAAAACGATTTACAAATCTCCTCAATTAGGTAGAGCTGGGCATCTCTACAGGTTTATTTTATGTCAAATACATTGTTTGCTTGTCATTCCATTGTAGGCAGTGGACTTCCTGAGGCCACAGTTCATAAATATGGCTCAATTAAAATTAGCTTAGAAATGGAGAAGCTTGGGAACAACCTTCAGGAGTTCAGCTGGGTTTTTGTATAAGCCTCAAGCAGTAGTGAAAGGCTCGGAGATAGGTTTTGATATTGGATTTGAAGATATTTGGCTGAAGCTACTATCCATTTTGAACTTAAAGTCCCTTATTTGCACGTGACTACCAAAAAGACTAGTTTTTGAACTAGTTGGTGCACAATGCTGAGGAAACTTGCATGCTGCAACTGAGACAAGCACGAGGGTGACATTGAGAAGTGATATTTTTAATTAGTTTAATCGTGGCCAGATGCCAGCGAAATTGGCCGAAGGAGTGTGCACGGCACGCTGCAAGTCAAAGGAAAAGATGAGAAATCCGAGAAAAACCCTTGGAGAGCCAACATCACCTCATCGAACTGGATAGGAATTCAAATTCACTACTGAACAAATGCCTGCATAAGCAACACTCGTGTTTCTTTGTTTAGTAGAGAGCCTGAATTGCTATCTGGTTTGCTATAGAGATGCTGGCTCTCTGGGGGTTTGTCTCGGTCTTCTCGTCATGTCCCTTCCCCTGCGGCATGCTGTGCACGCTTCTTTCAAGCAGTTTTGCCGGCGTCTGGCCACAATTAAACTGCCGTAAAATACTGGGGAAGTGCCCACACTGGAAACTGGTTAATCTAGGCATGGGCGCTTGACCGGTCAAATTGAGTGCTTAACGTATAATTTGCAGAATCCCCAAGTTTGGGAAATATTAATAGTGGGCGCTTCCACAATATTTTACAATAGTTGTCATCTTGTTCTTGTCCCTCTTTGTTCGAGGCCAACACAGTGCCAACACATTGCAATGAACTTGTCGCGACGTATACTGCAAACCGTAGCTCTCTCGGGACTGCGGGGTGGAAGCACGGCCAGACGCTCGCAAGGAGGCTCAAGGGGAAGAAAATGGATTGCTTGCCTGTGCCTTGACGGGGATTTGCTCGTGGCCGACCCACTCCTGTTCGTAGATCTCGCTCAGGGTGTCCATGAGGGCTTTGCTGGCCAGCTGCAGGCTCTTGATGCACACCACATAGTTCTTGAACTCCTTCTGCAGCTTGGCCGCTGCATTCTGCGTGGGCAAAAGGGGGCGGGGTATCGAATTCGGGTGAGGGATTCGCATGGCACACGAGGTGCAAGCTGCGAGGGGGCCCGAATGCCCCCAGAAAACGCGAGTTTTCCGCGTGCGAGGAGAGGACTCTGTGCAGACGTCGTCCTCGTCAGAAGGGCAACCGGCAAAGTCGACGAGTCTCTTGGACAATCGCCGCGAGTAATTGCGGCGCGCCGCGTCCTCGAAAGCAGTCCCTCAACTTTTGCCCGACGACAATGTAAAGCTTCATGCCATTGCTCGTCGTGACCCTGACGGTGGCACGGTGGTAGTGTGGCACAGGTCCATTCCGTTGTAGACCGGTCTGCAGCCGCACGGTCGAAGGAAACCAAAGCAGAGGCGGGTCAGGACCCCGCAATGACGGCGACGCTCACGTCCCCTCGCCTTCCTTGCTCCCATGTCTACGACCATCCGCTACGATTGTAACGTTTGACGGCGCTACACACTGGCTCCTGCGAAGCAATTTGTTGCAACTTCGAAACCACTTACGATGCGTGGGGGGGAGGGGACAGAAACACGCTGGTCCAAGAAGCATTCCAGGCAAACTACCGTCACCCAGAATTACCCGACAAGCCACCACTTAGAGTACCAACACTCCATTCCCCGGCCGTCGCGTGGGTGCCGCCATTTTATAGCGCAGCGGGTCCTATTCGTGATTGTTGCGCTTTTTTTACACAGGCCCTTCCGTCGTAAAATGGTAAATAAAGATTGAATAGAATCGAAAATGTGACTCCCCAAGCTTCGGGTGCAGCGCCAGGAAGCTCGGGTGACATCACCTTGCTCTGTCGAGGATTGTTTTAACATTTCTGAAGGACACGAAACTGGCAACAATGGTTTCTATAGATGAGAGGGCTCAAGTGTCGTTACTCAGAAGCGTAGCTCAATCGGTGGCTCTAGGGCTGCCCCGGAAGGGCACTGACCATTCCCCGAACCAACCTGGTGGAGCATGCATTGTGTCGAGCGTAAGCTAGCTCTTTTATCTGGGTCCCAAAATAAACGAGTCACATTTGCACCGCGCACAGCCTAGACACGACGGCTCAAGTTGTTACTTGCGTGCGTGGTTTCGTGCGTATTTAAGAGAGATACTCATCGACGGTGACATTCCTCACCATCTTACCAGCTATGATCTGTGGTCCAACATGCTTAGCTTCAGATTTATTAACTTTGCTTATAATAGCAATTGTACGACGAGGTAGTATTTTGGGACAATAAGTTTTCGAAAGATCCCAAAGTTTAAGTATCGTAGAATACCGTGCATCCGCCCATTTCACATTAAGCACCCATTCCCAAATTTGTAAGATCTGAGAAAATACGCACAGTACATTTATATGTAAAATTGACAACCAGACAAGCGCCCATCCCATATTTTTTTTTCTGCGATTATCTCCAAAGTTTGAGTGGGAGTCTGCCCGGTATTTTACGGTCGTACACTTTTGAGGCTCCTTAAGCCTGCATCAGAATGGCTAAGTTGAGTAGAGCTATTCTTAGAGCGACGGTCCTGCTGACGAAAAGAATGTCCAAATTTGAGGCTGCCCGTATGGAACATACGCAATTAAAGATAGAAACAGTCATCTGGAATTATTCGCTTATGGGACGTATTCCCACCCGCGTCGGCGAGCAAGCGCATGCGTGGCCGAGTGGTTACTGCACTCGACTTTCGCACGGTACATGTAGGTTTGATCCCAGTCAATCGGGCTGTCCTTTTATTTATTCTTTCGATTTGGCCTTCTCGTGAGGTGGAGGACATTCTCGTCTGATCTAGTTTCGAATATTCTACGCACCAAAAGTTCTACGCCGAATGATCCAGAAACCCACGAGGGTACATAAGGGACTCCGCAAGTCGAGCGGAGTCAGTCTTGCCCCAGCGCTCGATCCTGCGGTTTCGCCGACGTCGACGCCCACGACGCTCTGCTGTTTTCTTCTGTTCCTGTTTTGTTTGCTTTGGGCACAAGTTCGCCCCATTAAATGTTTAGTTTATTCAGTTATTACCACCTCATCCATTGTCATTCGTGACAATATGATCATTCTGCCAATGAGTTGTTTTGGAGGAAATCCTAAGGTGGTGTAGGCTTATGACAGGAGAAATGCCATGGAATGTTTTCAGAGGAGCAGAACATAGAGCACCCGCTGAAACTTTAGAATCAAGCCAATCAAGCTTTCCGACTGGTTTCTGCTTTCACTATCGAGTGACCTGAACTCTAGTTGAGCATTGAACTGTTTGCCCATTACCAAACAGGATCCGCCAGCTCTGCCCATTCAGATTCGAATCAACAGAAGGATGTTTATGGCAGGCTATTGCTGTACGTACATGAGTGATTCCATCTCAAATCGCGCGGGCAAAAAGAATCAAATTTTTTATTTCAACGAAAAATATTTAGGGATTAGGATAAAAGAGACTGTTTTCTACCAAGAATCATAGTTCATAAATGCAATATTTTGTTTGTATGGCCTGTTTAAAAATAAACTAAAAAGGAAGAACCTTTTTTTTTAAACAGCATAAAACAATTACAAATATTAAAAAAAAGATATCTGCAGAAACCTCTTTTTAAAAATTATTTACAGCGTTAGATTTGTTTTAGTTTACAGCTTTCTAGCGTGCGTGCCAAAAGACGCCAAGGCACGTGAGGCAAGCCAAGTGCAGCGTCCTCGTCTCCTGCTTACCTCGCCTCCGTGTTCCGAAATCATGCGCGAAAGAGAAGAGTGAAAAAGGTGAGCGCTGAGGCGCGCTGAAGCGAGGCAAGTAGGAAAGAGGTAGCCAGTAAGAATGCTGCCCTTGGCATGTACATGTGGTGACGTTACATACCTATTTTTGGTGGGCACATTTGAAAGCTGTGAACTACAACAAGTCTAGCACTGTAAATAATTTCAAGATTTTTTTTCCTTTTGCGGAAATTGCATTTTGTAATATTTTGTCACTTTTTCAACTTGCTTAAAAAATTATATTTTTTCCTTTTCAGTTTTTTTTAAGCTTCAATATTGTGAAATGATTTGTTCATATTTAGCAAGAGAACAGGCAAACTTCGGCATCTCCGTCATTTGCCAAAATATATTAGTATATCTCTTCAGCGATATGCCCACGCCTTGATGGTGGAGTCACTATGAGGTGTCAGGAACTAGAATGAGACTAGACGAGACGGTGTAAGTGAAAAAAAACTGTTTTACGTAGCAAAAACCACATTCAAAATTACAGGAGGACACTTAAGCTTCGCCTCTAAGAGTGGAATGCGATAGCTAAACATACAAACCCCCGCTCATTCCCATGTAGTACACGCTTGTCCGCGTGGCCTAGTCAGTAGCGTGTCTTATTTGCAACCGAAAGGTCGTGGGTTAGAATGCTGCCTCTGCCTAAAATTCTTCACATTCTTTCTCTAGGGCAAATGAATTACTTTTCAAGGCGAAATCATTTTAGACATGCGGCGACCTTTAATTCGCATTTCATGTCATGTTCTCAATCCCTTTCATTCCATGCGTGACGTACGTGACCGTTGTGGGTTGTTTGAAATTACCGTGCGAGCTCATGTGGCTGTGACGTCATGACCTTACCGACCAGCCAGGATTTTCTCGTCCCACCGACACATACCAAAACCTCATTCGAAATTACGGAGGACGCTTAAGCTTCGCCTTTAAGAGTGGAACGCGATAGCTAAACCCTGCACCTAGAGGAAAACCTGTGAGCAATATGTTCTTTTATCTCAGTGTCCCCTCAATTTGTGATTTTTCTCTTCTGCTACGTAAAACAGTTGTTTTTTCGCTTACACCATCTCGTCTAATCTCATTCTAGTTCCTGACACCTCTAACTACTAACCATCAAGGCGTGGGCATATCGCCGAAGAGATATACTAATATATTTTGGAAATGACAGAGGTGCTGAAGTATGCCTGTTCTCTTGCTAAATATGAACAAATCATTTCACAATATTGAAGCTCTGGCTCGTTACTGACACGTCACAGTAAGTCCACTGCCAGGCAGGGCCGGATTAAGGTACGGGTTAAGGGGACTGCAGCCCTGGGTCCCAGACTGTCAGGGGGCCCCATGCTGGCCCCTGAAAATTTAAAAATGTTAGTCTTTTTTTTTATTATTTAAGAAAGTTTAGGCAGAAAGCAGAAGAAACATTCCGAAGGACCCCTGGCGCCATGGCCTTCTCGTTCTCTTTTCCTCAACAAGGATGCCACAAACTTTCCATCTCTAGATCAGCTGGCATTTGTGAGCTCGTTGTACAAGAACGTGCCAGAACAACAAAATTTAACAAGGCCTCCCATGCGCCTTGTTCGACTTTTTTTTTTTTTTAATTGGAGCTTTTTGGAAGGACGGTTATGGACCTTTCTTTTGTACTGGGGCCCCATAGCGTGTTTTACGGACAATTGTGGGCAGGAAGTTAAGCAAGCGTTAAGCAAGCAACGCAGGTGGTTCACACATTTTGTTTTAAACCTTTTCACGAAACTCCATATGGAGTTTATTCCAGAACGATAAGTTTGGAACAAGCGAAAAGCTGCCGGTAAATCTTCTGGACACCGTCTCTACAGCCACCAACAAAGAGGCGAGTCAAGGAGACAGCTCTTAAGATGCCCCTTAACAGTTTTCGATGAGTACTGACTGCAAGGAAGTGCTCTAGAGTCGATATCTGGTCTGCCAGTGCAACTCTCTTCCTTCCAGCGTCTGATATGAATACTGCAATGGTCTCACCAACCTCTGAGGTATAATCTCTTATTTTTTAACGTTGAGTCACAAAACAAAATGGCCGCCGAGGTCTAAATTACTGCATTTAAAAAGAACAAAATTAGTACTAAATCTGATGCGAAACATTTTCCCCATTCAAAAAGACAGCGTGTAGATACAAAAAGAAAACACCTTCTCGATTCTCATGATAAATTCTTTAAATAAAAATGTGCCCCAGCGACAGCGGTCGATGTCTTAGAATCGCAGGCAGTTTCTCCTATGCTTTAAATGTGGAAGTCTGTGTTTGTTTGCAAAACGAGGGTTCAGTTATTAGAAGAGCGTTTACGAAGCAGTTTGATCCCGATAAAAGCTGCTTCAACCAACGAAATTTCTTTCTTGCCTATGTCACTTCCTTCACTGTTCACACCAGTAATTAATTAACAGAGGGTTAGTTAGAAGTTAAAACACTTCCAATCATTTGGAACAATTACAAGAATGAGGGCTCTAGATTTTCATGGCAGTTGTCGATTTGCGAGGCGTATACCATTTAGGGGAAGCGAAATTAGAATGGGAAATTTGCAGGTACTTTTTCGGTTGCTGCATAACTTAATTCCTGTGCGACTAATGATGTCCTTCGGCATGTTAGCAAAAGGGTCACCTGTGCTATAAGTCGACATATTGACCAATTTGTATAAAGTGGCAGGGGCATGTACTCTATGAATCTAGCTGTACTTCTAGTCAAACAAATTCATGAACGGAGTAAACATTTTAAACGAAAGCAATTTAGTGTTGTTTTTTGTTGTTGTTGTTTTTGTGGTTAAGTTGCTGGGATGTGAACGACAAATCCTAATATTTTCCGCAATGTCTATTTGATTTCCTTTTTTTACCTCAAAATTACTGTATTGTAAATTGCTAGAGGGGTTGATCATTTGCGAAGTAGCTTCTAAACAATCGCATCCGCCTCAGTGCCAGCAAGGAAAACTTGAATTCCATAGAATCTACGGATCTAAACAAGGCTCGACAATAATCATACGATGAAACATATCTAGATTTAACAAGTTAAAAGATATACATATTCCCGTCGTCATCGTTACCTCCACCACCACCATCATCATAGGTAGAGGCCTCATAACAGCCTCAGCCCAGGGCCCCCAAATGCCTTAATCCGGCACTGCTACCAGGGCGTGGACAGATTGCCCGAGAGATAAACCAATATATTTTAAAGGCTACCTGTTTCTCTACCTAAGGTTGCCTGTTTTTATACCTGAATGAAACACACACTTCACAATATTGGGGCTTAAGGGGGGACATGGCCTGGGAGGGTCAACTTCTAAACCATTGTCTCAAATTGATTCAAACTTTAAGGGTGAATTGAAGTCCATTAGGATTGATTACACCTAAAATTTCAGTCTTGTAGGCCAATTCTCTCCAACTCCAGAAGAAAATAACTTTATTAGAAAATGTATTTAAGAAAAATAATAATTGCAATCCACAAAATGTTTGGTTTAATGTGAAGTAGAATACCCATAGTTCAAGTTAAGGTAAAAATTAATTATAGAAAATGCAATTCTAGAAAAAAACAAGAACACCCCAAAAAAGCCAAAGATTTTAACAAATTTCTGTGTTTCAAAATATTCAGTTTTTGTCATGAAGAATTGAGCCCATACCATGGAGGCACCACGGGCCTCCATGGTACGGGCTGTCGCCTTTCCGCGGTGCCACGGCTCTCCTGAGCCAATAAAGATTACGATCATGATTACGATTGGGTAACTTGTTCCTCAGGAAATTTCAGTCCAGGACACCACTGAATGAAATCTTTACACCTTCAAAATGTCAAATAATACATTTCCTCATACCACATTTCCTGCGAAAAAGTGAAACTGAGAAAAATGCATTTGAAGTTTCAAATTTAGGTTTCTTTCTTTTCTGCGAGTCCAAGGTAGGCAAAATTCACCTGGAGCATTGCTAGCTCCTTCCTCGTTGAGACTTGGTTGTTTCCCCGGCAATAGCTACCAGTCTGTGCTGTTTGTTGGCAAGCTAACATTTGTAACAGGCATTCGACAGACAAAATGGAAAGAACTAAGAGGCAAATCATACTAAGGAAGAGCAAAAAGGCCGGAATAGGATCTGAAGTGGGAGATAGTGAAAGGGTGTTACTGAAGATGGCACAATATCACGTCACAGGGCAGGGCCAATCGTAAACCTGTTTTGGGTCTCAACCAATACAATTGCTCGTACCAAATTTTTTTGATTTTTTTCCGTTTGGATGTATAAGGGTCTTCTAGTCATTGATACTTTTAAACTTGGAAAGCTTCTACAGACTTAATCTAGAGTAAACGACGCTTCCAATGAGGGTGCGATGTTCTGCCTATGTTAAATGAGTATGAAGCTGTGCCAAATAAAAAACGCAAAAAACTTGCTCCCTGCTGACTCGGAGGGCTGCCGACATTTTAAGTACCCTTTTATTAAAGCATACTTTGAGCAGTCAGAAACATGAATTCTTCAAAATGATCACCTGTTGCCGGGTGAAGTTGTAGAGATAGACTTCGAAGACCTCGTCCTTCGTTTTGTCGGCCCTCCCCAGGTTCTGGAGGATCTGCACAAAAGGAGGGAGGGGCATCACTCTCTGCTCTCAAACGTCACACCTGGGGATAGTCCAGAAAGGGGGTGCCCCCAAACACTTCCAGTTGCACACTTCACAAAGACAACAAATAAAGAAATATAACGAATAGAGAAATGACATGCTGCAAGCAGTGGACTTCGATAACCTTCCAAGCCACAGCAATTTTCATTCATTTATTTATTTAAAATATCAAGGTAATACATTGAAGAAGGGAGAGAACTCACAAAAACAGTTATGAAGTGCATAAAAAGGGATGGCTCATTATTATGGACACCTCCACTCCCCCACGGAAGCGTTCATAATGTGAGTTGCCTGCATTAAAGAGACAAAAATGCACGCAGTTCACCCGGTTCGTCCCCAAAGTTCTTGTCTGTATAACAAGGTATTAACGAGACATGACTGTATTTGTAAGAGTATTCCTAAACAAAACAATACCAGTAATGTTAGTGATCTAAGCAAGAAGGCAGTTCCAATCAACCGACGTCTGGCGTACAAAAGAACACTGAAGAGATGATGTTTTAAAATTGGGCATCTAAAATTGGGAACTTTCCGAAACTCGAGTTGGATGGATGGATGGACGCTAACAGCTGTACCCTTTACAATGGGAGGTAGCTTGCATTACCCATCTGCCAAGTACATGGTTGCTCAGGCTTTTCTGTGCCATGAATGATGCAGTGGCTTTGTAAGAGAAAGCAAGTGCCCTACGGCAGGACCAACGTTTCGCACAGAAAAACGCACCCAAGGGAGAACTACACTTGCCAAGACATGAATGTCTACCCTCACCACTACAGCAATGTTTCTATGATCGCCTGGGTGACGGGTTAGAATACCAAAGGTAATTATTTTCATACAAAGATTATTTTTGCCTCTCCCACCCGTTCAACACCCAAAATGTAAGCCACATCCTGTTTGCCCATTGAGCCGCAATGACCTAGATACGGATCCCCCAAACTCGCTTTTGTCCCCATCGTGCATTATCTTCTGCCCCGAAGTCGACATAAAGAAATTATTTTCCCTCTCTGCTCGGCCAGAAGGAAGAGAGAGAGGGTACTAGAACCATTTACTCTCAAACCGATGTTTCTACAAAAGGCCCATTCATGTCGATCTAGAGAAAGCTACTCGCAACTCCAGCGACCTATAGGGGGCGCCCCCACCAAACAAACATGGCGGCTGGGAACAGGTCGTATAGGGTCGGCCGGGCCGGCTGGACGGGTGGCTCATTCAATTTAACGGATTTTCTTTTGTTTAACGCCCTATTTTATAGGTATTTGAACAGCGACGGTTAAGTGTAGCCAGAGCACATAAACTTGCAGAGCATAGTTCTGTCCACGCCCAAACCCTCCTTCCGAATGAAGGCATGTTTCCTTTCGATGTAGTTTCCCTTTTCACTAATGTTCCTAACAATGTTGCCATTGATGTCGCACGCGAGCGTCTACTTGATGATCAAAGCCTGATAGCACGCACGTCACTTCACGTTGATGATATAATTTTACTTTTGCATTTTTGCTTGAACCAATGTTTTTTCGCCTTCCGTGGAGAGAGGTATCATCAGGTGAACGAGTGTCCGATGGGAAGCCCGGTATCTGTCAGTGTTGCCAATCTTGTTATGGAGCATATTGACGAGAAAGTGTTGAAAAAGTTGCGTTCCCGGTCAAATTACTGCCGACATGTGAATGACACTTTCGTCATTTTAGATTAAGGTCATGCTAACGATTTTCACCGGGAGTTAGACAGTGTTCACCTCGTGATACAGTTTTCTTGTGAGGCAGAACAGCAGGGCAAGTTGCCCTTCCTAGATGTATGTGTAATGAGGACAGGCGAACCGAGCCACAGGATTGAAACGGGCGTGTACCGCAAACCATGTGAAACAGATAATCTTTTTTTATTTTTTGTCTCATCACCCAGTGCAACACAAGAAATCAGTAGTGCAAATGTTTGTAGTAGATCAAATACCGTGCCACCTAACGAGCTCCATGACACAAATGAGATGACTCATTTCATTTACAGGAAGCTTTAAAAATATGTCACTGCCCAAAGTGTTTTGTTGAGGAGGTCAACAATCAAATGAAACAAAATGTGCAACCATGCAAAAGGGAAAGAGATAGGAATGTAGTGTGCATCCCCTCTGTCAAAGGAGTCTGTGAACCTCTCAGTCGCGCTTTGAGGCCCCTTGGCATTCAAACTGTTTACAAGCCCTACAGAACTATCAGAAATTCCGTTTCCAAACCAAAGGACCCCACCCCGGCGAATGTCCAGAGAGGCTTTATCTACAAGATCCCCTGCAGTGACTGCCCAGCGTCCTACACTGGTGAAACCGGATGGAGGAGAGAGACCAGACTCAAAGAACACAAGTGTGACGTCACGTACACATCCCACGCGACGCGACTGAACTAATGAACCATGTGTGGACAATGGGACTCTTTGACTTTGCGGCCGTGATGACCTTGGCGAAGGAGGACAGATGGGGGCCCCAGAAACTCCTGAAATCATGGTTTGTCCACAGGGACACATGTGTAACAAAAACCACGGCCCTCTGCACGAAGCTCATACGGACGTTCCTGATAAATAGCGTTGACTTGAGGTTGAACCTTGCATTTGCTTTGTAACTACTGAAGATGCCTCCCACATGGGAAGCAAAACATTTAGTGAATTTTTTTTTTTTTTTTTTTTTTTGTGTCAAGTCGGAGTTTTTATTTTAATTATGACATCGCCCAGCTTTTGGAGTATTTTAGCATATAGCGGGGTATCCATATTAACGGGGTCCATATTAACGGGACATGACCATATTTGACAGAGATACTACTTAAATTCAGTCAAATGGTTCGAGCAGACAGCACGGGGACGAATACGGACAAACTGGAGACAGTCTTCATTGGAGATTCATGCAGACCCCCTCTGCATTGAACTTGACTTCGAATCCTGAACGGAGAAATTGAGTATTCTTTGCGGCCAGACAACCTGAACAATGTAGACGCATGTTGCTGCGGGCTTCGATGGGGGTATCGTATAAATTTGGAGGCGCGATAGATCATAATATTATGACAGCTTCTAACTTTGCGAGACGTGTCCCCCACCTTTTGAAAGCAGACAATTTCCCTCATTAATCGTATGCAGCGAGCAGGTTTTTCGAAATCAAGTAATTGCGAAATCAACCTAACTCCTTTGGTGTAGTCCAGAGGCTTTTTTGGGGAAAAGCAACCAAGATGAATAGCCAACGCACTGACTGGCGTGGGTCGCTCAAACTTGAAGGTAATCAAACACAACCAAACTCAAGAAAAGCAGCTTTTGAACCTTCCCATTCACTTGACTGCAACATTGGTGTTCCCTCCAGTGAAACACCTCGTCTGTCGCCCTCAGTCCACTGTTCTATATCTCTATAAACAAACCACTTATCAGCTATCAAGTAGTCGTCACTTTGAATGTAATTCCAGACAGACAAAAAATCAAAAGGTTTTTCCATGATTCCTACCCATCCAAGAAGTCAAAAGCATGTGACCGTGTGTTGTGGAGTAAACGGGCTTTCAAACACGCGATGAAAGCAAACAATCTACTGAGGCTGACGAAAATAAATCCCTGGAGAAGGGGAACAAGAGGGACAAAGGACAAACATAAACCTCCAAACACAGCTAGGTGACTCAGCTCGCTTGCACCTTTGCATTAACTGGACTATAATTATAATCTACTGAGGCTTCATCCACGAATGAACACCCAGGCAAACTTAAGAAATATTAGGACCAGGCACGTAGCCAGGGGGAAGGGGGGCATAGTAGAGCACTGCAAGGGCCGGAATCTCTAGACCCGGCCCGACCCGGCCCGGTAGAGACACGACCCGGGCCCGGCCCGAGCCCGACAGAATTTTTAATTTCTAGGCCCGGCCCGACCCGGCCCGGAAGAGACACGGCCCGGGCCCGGCCCGAGCCCGACAGAATTTTTTATTTCTAGGCCCCGCCCGACCCGGCCCGATGGCTGTAGCCCGAAACAACCCATTCCCGTTTGAACCCGTCCCGTTTCGACCCGTTCCCGAAACGAGCTCCCCATTTGAACCTCGTCCTGTTTCGACCCATTCTTTAAACGCCCTTCCCATATGAACCCGTCCCGTTTCGACCAGTTCCCTAAACGCCCTTCTCGTTTGAATTTGTCCTGTTTCGACCCATTCCCTAAACGTCCTTCTTATTTGAACCAGTTTCCGAAACACCCTTTGCATTTCAACGCGTCCCGTTTCAACCTACTTTTATAAGGCCCTGCACATCGCAACCTCTTCGCAAAAAGTCTCCATCGTTCTAAGCCTGGTCTGCGCACCTTTTCTGTTTAAGAATATGTTCTGAAGTAGCTTTACATGTCAAAGCGTTCTTAAAATATACAACCCTTTCAGGCTTGCAAGCTTAAGTTTAATATATTCCTACTTAACCCCTTAAAACATTTCTTTTTTTTTCAAGATGGTTCCCAAAACGTGCAAGCGCGGAACGGACTATGTACACTGCGCGACACTGATACCGCGAACACGACGTTGGCTCTTTTTTCGAATTTTACTTCGAAATGGTGTTAGTAGGCACCAAAGTATACCGCTTAGGTCTGTGGCCCAGACGAGCACTTCTAAAGATACTATACACGGCGACAACTTTTCTTGGCAATGCAGTGGAAGGTACAGGCCCGCGTCCCCTCTTCCATTTTGTGTGTGCGTGGGCTCTCCTCCTCTCCCCGGAAATGGGGGAGGAGGAGAGCCTGCGTACACTCAAAATGGGAGAGGGGACGCGGGCATGTACCTTCCACTGCATTGCCAAGAAAAGTTGTCGCCGTGTATAATAGTTTTGAAAACAGCGTTTTGATTCTATGAGACAAACACAAAAACACGACGATCGCTTGTTCGCGCTAATATAGTGTCGCGCTCTGTGCAATAAGGGACTCTTAGAATAACGTACTCAAGCACTTTGGGCAAGCTAAAATTATCATCGCCATAGGTTTTACATCGCAAC